TGTAAAAGCTTTAGTAGTTGTGCAGAATATGAAGATGTGTTAGAAATAATGCTTAAAGTAGCTTGCATGATGTCCTTGAGGTTAACAGGAAAGAGATGACCCATTTTGGTGATTTTTAAAATGAATTTGCCTTCATTACCATACTGATTAAAAGTCTGTACATTTCCCCAGAAATAAATCCATGTCTATATGGTCATTTAATCTGTGACAAAGGAAGCAAGAATTTATGTTAGGGTAAAGACAGTCTAAAGACAGTAAATGGTGATGGGAAAACTGCACAGATACATGCAAAAAATATTGGACAGATACATGCACCTTATTACACCACATACAAGAATAAACTCAAAATGGATTAAAGATTTAAACGTAAGACCCAAAACCATACAAATCCTAGAAGAAAATATTGGAAGTAAACTCTCAGACATTAACTTTAGTAATATTTTTGCTAATATATCTCCTTGGGCAAGAGAAACAAAGGAAAAAAATAAACAAATGGGAGTACATCAAACTAAAAATTTTTTTCACAGCAAAGAAAACCATCAACAAAACAAAAAGACATCCTACTGAATGGGAGAAGATATTTGCCAATGATGCATCTGATAAGGGGTTAACATCCAAAATTTATAAAAAATATCATACAACTCAACACCAAAAACACAATCCAATTAAAAAATGGGCAGAAGACCTGAATAAACATTTCTTCAAAGAGGACATACAGATGGCCAACAGACATATGAAAACATGCTCAATGTCACTAATCATCAGAGAAATGCAAATTAAAACCACAATGAAATACTACCTCATACCTGTCAGAATGGCTATAATCAACAAATTAACAAACAAGTGTTGGCAAGAATATGGAGAAAAGTGAACCCTTGTGCACTGTTGGTGGGATTACAGATTTGTGCAGCCACTATGGAAAACAGTCTGGAGGTATCTCAAAAACTGGAAATGGAACTACCTTATGACCCAGCAATTCCACTCTTAGGTATTTATCCAAAAAAATTCAAAACACTACTTCAAAAAAATATATGCACCCCTATGTTTACTGCACTGCTATTCACACTAGCCAAGATGTGGAAACAACCAAAATGCCAAACAATAGACAATTGGATAAAGAAGTGACACATATATACAATGGAGTATTACTCTGCCATAAAAAAGAATGAAATCTTACCATTTGCAACAACATGGATGGACCTAGGGGATATTATGCTAAATGAAATAAATCAGACTGAGAAAGACAAATACCATATGATCTTACTTATATCTGGAATCTAAAGAACAAATGAAAAAAACAAAACTAAACAGAAATAGACCCAGATATATAGAGAACAAATGGATGGCTGTTAGATGAAAGGGGTGTTGGGTGAGAAAGGTAAAGGAATTAGAACGTACAAATTGGCAGTCACAAAATAATCACCTTGATGTGAAATACAGTATGGGGAATATAGTCAATAATGTCATAAGGATGGTAGGGTGTCAGATGGATACTGGACGTATCTGGGGGATCACTTCATAGATTATATAAATGCCTAACCACTGCACTGTATACCTGAAACTAATACAAAACAATATTGAATGTCAACTATAATTAGATAGATAGATGATAGATAGATGAAAGAAAGAAAGAAAGAAAGAAAGNAGGAAGAAAGAAAGAAAGAAAGAAAGAAAGAAAGAAAGAAAGAAAGAAAGAAAGAAAGAAAGAAAGAAAGAAAGAAAGAAAGAGAAACACAGTCATTGGATGTGTAAAGTGTAGCACAGGGAATTTAGTCAATGGTATTGTAATAGCTATGCACGGTGTCAGAAGGGTAGTAGACTTGGTGGGGTTATCACTTTGTGAAGAATGTAAATGTCTAATCATTATGTTGTTTTTACATCTGAAACTAATTTTAAAAGTCTGTACCTTTCTAGCATGTGACTAAATGAGCAAGATTATTAGTGTTGTGTACTATTGATGGCTCTCAGTTTAATGTTTTCAGCTTTGGGAAAAGGTTGACTTACATAATTCAGTATTTGCATATGCTTTGCATGTGTAACTCATGTGGGGTCACTGTTAAGTTGTCCTATAATGTAAATATTAGCTTAGAGTATAGGGTATTATAGTCAATTATCGGTTAGTTATTTCAGGTCAGGATCTGAAAGTGTGACTTTTAAGTCCATCATGGTCATTTGAAGTGTTTGATGAATTATATTTTAAAACTGTCAATGGGCTGTTAAATTCTGTTTGTAGTTTGCGTTTAGTTTGCATGTCAATTGGACTTTAAGTAGGCATATGACTTGATACAGCCAGATGGTGTCCGGATGATGCTGAAAATCTTTGGAGAATGAGGAAAGATTATTACACTGTTAACGGAAGTGTAAATTGAACAAAGGCTTATTTAAGCATTTCAGCGGTAAAAGGGAGGAACTGATGGCTACTTTTCATCTACAGTTTGATCAATTTGCTACTAAAACAGTGAGTACTGAAAGAAGAATTGAAGTCTATAATTATCTTGGATTTGTGGGGGGCGAAAGCCTCATATAGAAGCCTATTTAGGTCACTGATTGTTGCTATTATGTTGACCATGAAGTGAAGGTTTTAGGGGAAAGATAAACACTGATTAATTTATTACATGTTATGGAATATGCCAGCATTATAGCAAAGCTGTATGATGAGTAAAGTATAAAAATGCATATACATTTAAGTAATTTTGGAAGGCTAACTGAAAATAAACATCTAGTTTAAAAGGGGGTGGGGTGCAGAAGGCCATTTTTAATTGTGTTTACACTGTGTTGAGGCTTCCCTGATAATAATCATAGGGAGAATATTTCATAACTGAAAAGTTTGGATTGGTAGATTGCATCTAAGAAGGACTTAGAGATAGTGAACCATAAGTGAAATGAAAGCAGAAAAGTTTAAAATACTTTTTTTTAATATTCTCTGAGGATTTGGAGTCATAGGGAGCACAGAGTATGGTCCCATGCTTGGATTCCACACAGAATCTAAGTTTCTAGCTTTTTTAAATCCTTGGGTAATTCTGATGACAATGCATTTTTTGGTGGTCTCTATCAGAAATATTGGTGATCACTTTTATTTAGGGTTGTTTTAGTTGAGAGGATCATTTTAGTGTTGTATGAGACCTGTCGTGTCTGAAGATTTGTGTCTTTTTGCATTGTGCTAACTTTGAATTATTTTTCTTAATGTTTTTAATTTAACCATCATTGTTGAACCCAGGAGATGCTCCTCAAATTTATTAACAGTATTTCTTTCTTCTAGCCTCCTTTTTGTCTTAAAAATATGTGTTTTGATAGTTTGTATTACTGTTACTATTGATTGAGGAAGGAGATTTAAGGGGTCTCTGAATATACTTCCTAGAGATCCATTGTTGTTTACTTGCTCTTGTGATACAGGAAGCAAGAAAAAAATGACAGAATGGCAAAGAGGAAAAAGGGATGTTATTAATTGTTGATAATTGTGTATAGAACCAACATAAACATTGCCCATCCTAGAAATTCTATAATCTGTAACAATCTAGTAAAATTATAGGCAAGGATGTTTTAGAACATATGTTAAAGATTACTGGTTTCTGGGGCTGGCCGAGTGGCACGTTGGTTGGAAGTTGGCTTGGGGCACCGGCTCTAAGCAGCAGGGCCCCAGTTTGGATCCCACATTAGGGCCAGTGATGCTGTGCCCTCTACAGCTGGGATGGTGAATGGCAGCTCGACCTGGAGCTGGGCTGCCATGGGTCACCGGCGACGGCGAAGGCTGCAGTGGAGCTGCAGTGGGCTCCCTTAAGCTACCGTGAGTGGCCGGCAGCCGGAATGAGCTGCCAAGAGCCGCCATAAACTGCTGTCCAGTGGCCGGTGACCGACCTGCCTCACCCGAGAAGAGTGCAGTGATGATGCCAACATGGGCCAGTGAGGCGACGTCCTCCACAACTAGACCGAAGAACCAAAGGACAGCAACTTGTCTGTTCCCCTTCCCCATTTGCCTGCGCTGTTCCCCTCCTCCAATTCCCCAATAAAAAAAAATCTTAAAAAAAAAGGTTACTGGTTTCTGGGCTTCTGTCCAAAAGAACGCAAGATTATTATCGAGGCAATAGTTTAAAATACATTGTAAAGCCCTATGATTTACTTTATCATAGCTATGTTGACATCCATATTGTTAGGCTAACATTCCCTAGTCTCTGCTCAAAGATGTTTCCTCACAAATCCCAACCTTTGAAGTGGTAAGTAGACAACTATTTTAATTTGTTAGCATTTTCATGATGACATATCTGTGGCCCCCACAAGGGTAAATGTGGATAATACTTGAGAGATACTCTTTCAGAAATTGAAAATTATTTCACCTTGCATAAGAAAACAAACAGAATTCTAGACACTACTCAAAACTATTGGAATTTGGTATTAAACTGGAAAACAGGTTGATATTTGATAGGAGAGTTATTCTTTATTGACCAAGGCTTCAAATTGGAGCTATAAGCATTCATTTTAGAGATTTATAATGAAAGGGTATGACATATTCCAAGTCTTACTTTCTTCAGTAATTCTGAGTCCAGAGAATCTACATCTTTTCTTACCAGCAACACTATTATGTCTCCTAAACACAGTGTTAAGCTAGACTATCAACATATCAACATATTATGATTAAAAATCTAAGTACTTCTTTCTTTTAAGCAAAATGATATTTGGCTTAAAGGTATTTGTTTGTTTTTAATGGGTAAGAGATTGTATCCCAAAATATAAATATTTTGGGAGTGAGAGCAAGAACAAGGATTATTGATAAATGAAAGTCTGGATATAGAAACATTTTAAAAATCATAAACAATATTAAATCCCACAGGTAATATTAATTGCCCAAAGATATACTAGAATGTAGTAAAACTTAATTTTAAAAAATCCAACAAGAATGAATTTACTTTACTTTTTACTCTTTCATAGCATCAATTTTAATGTGATTTCCCCTTGTCTAAAGAATCTAACAAATGTAATAATTTAACATGCACTGTTTCTTTTAGGACTTGATCTGCCATTTATGATGATGCCTCATCCCCTACTTCCAGTCAGCTTACCTCCTGCATCAGTTGCCATGGCAATGAATCAGATGAACCATCTAAATACTATTGCCAACATGGCTGCTGCAGCCCAGATTCACAGTCCACTCTCCAGAGCTGGGGCCTCTGTTATAAAGGTAAGAATCATGATTTAGAAAATGACAACGGTGTTAATTGCATGTACATTTAAAAAAAATATTAGCAGTACCACCGGATCTTCAGAATAAACAGCTCATTGACTCAGTTGCTTGGCATACAGAATTGATGAATTTGATTTGTGACTAGGCCTGCTGAGGTGTTTTGTTTTGTTTTGTTTTGTTGTTGTTATTTGTTTTTATTCCATGACCACAGGTCTCACTTTTACTTTTGGCTTCTTGTCTTACAATCATGAGCATAGTGTGTGGGAGATGTGGCCACACTAATGATAGAGAAAAGTGTGCAACAACCATTTCCATTGCTGGGGTGAAATAATGGAAACACTGTACATCTTTTTGGTGTTTGAAAGGCAGTTGTGGATAGTATATACTATACAGGACTTAATAGAAAGACCTGAGTTCCTATTCTGATTCTGCCACTTAAGAGCTGAATGACCTTGGATATGACATTCAACCTGTTTGAACTTGGTTCCTCAAGTGCAAAATAAAGGGCATGATAATAATCTATTCTACTTATTTCATTGATATGAATTTCATTCATTATTCCAGAGATAATGTGAATAAAATATAGATTAAAAACTGTGAGCCATTAAGCAAATATTTATGATAATTTACAGCATTATAATTATGATGAGAATACTACATTTTTCAAAACTTCATGACCATCAACTAGTGAAATACAAATACAGCAAAACCTTGGATTGCGAGTAACTTGTTTTGCAAGTGTTCCGCAAGACAAGCAAACGGTTCTATTAGGTTGGTGAAAAGTACTTAATTATAATGTAAAAAACTGCAGTTACTTTTGCACCAAACTAATAATACATTTTAACTTGGTAAATGAGTGATGTCTTGCAATATGAGTAGTTTGTTTCCAGAACAAATTATGCTTGCAAACTGAGGTATTACTGTAATATTTCATAAGTCCTCCTTATGTCTTTTATTAGTTTAGCACATGGCCTCTCTGTTCTCTCTTCAATAATCATATGAACTAGGCTTTTTAATATATTTTTTTATTTGGTGAGGCAATAATAGAAGGGTTTATAGGCTCAAAAGAGTATAGCTAATCAGAACGACCCATTGATTTGTTTTGTTGTTACTTTATTTATTCAACAAATATTATACCCTTGATATATCCATGTCATATTGGGCAGTATAGAAAATAGATAAATAAGACATAGTTTCTGACTTCCAGGACTCACAAACTGAATGTGAGACAAAGAACAAGTACCCATGTAACTTGTTCTAACAAGACGTACTGGGATGGGTAGCATAGAGAATCACCAAGTATATAGGAATTTAGAAGAGAGAGAGATCATATCTAGCTTGGAGAAGAGAGGGTGCAGGGATCACAAAAGGCATTACAGTTGATGGATTTGAAATGGGCCTTGCCATGTTGATATGCTTGTAATAGATGCACATGGGGGTGAAATAAGTGAAGGCAGAAGAAATGTGAGATTCTGGACATTTTTGTTCAATTTTAAATTAGCTTCCAGTGTTGGGAACTTTAAAAACAATGAAGAAAATTCATAATATCACTTAGGGAAAGTTACAGTAGCCTGATGCACAAAACTTTCTTTGCTGTGTGTTATATTATCTTAATTCAGGAAGGCTGCTATAACAAATCACCATAAACTAGATGGCTTAAACAAGAGACATTTATTTCTCACCATTGTAGAAGCTGGGAACTCCAAGATCAAGGTGCCTGCTGATTCCTTTCCTGGTGAGAGCTCTCTTCTTTGTTTATAGATGGCCACCTTCTGCTGTATCTTCACATGACAAAGAGAAAGGAAGCAAGAGCTTTCTTGCCTCTTCTTATAAAGGCACTAATCCCATCATAAGGGCTCCTGCCTCATGACCAATTACTTTCCAAAATCCTCATCTCCAAATAACATCACATTAAGTATTAGAGTTTCAACATGTGAATTGCGGAAAGACAAACGTTCAGTCCATAGCATATATAGTCTAATGTGATTATAGTGTCACTGAGGCTAGCACCTGTATAGTTAAAGGTCTCTTAGTTTTTTCCATCATATCCCTACTTTCTGCAGTTTAAAACTCTGCTGCAGAAAAACGAATCTATATCAGAAACTTGATATAAATAGTAAGAGATTAGGACACATTATGCAAAAAAATCCAAAAATATGTGTTTAGCTTTATTAAAATTTATGAAAATTCACAAAAAGAGCTACCAAACTTATTCATATGTTTAAATTCTTATTTACATCTTTCTTTGTTACTTTCAGTGAAACTTTCCCTTTTTCCCATATCATTTTAAAAAAGTCCTGGGAGGTGGTGGGGAAACACACTGTCATGTTGAAACAAGTCTTCAGAATCCTTCTAAACACCTGCTACTCTCCTGTAGCATAGTTTATGTTAAACTGATGCCTGTGCCTTGTCTCATGGTCATAATCATGAGACTGTGATCACAATTTCCTTTGGAAGCTGGTCTTGCAGTATATGCTGTGAATATTAGGACTATATGATAAACAGAAGATATCAAGTTAGTGAATGACTGGCTATACAAGCCATAATTAATTTCCAGTGTTTAGCATTTCTGATCAAAGGGCTGGAGCAGCTATTTTAATATTCCTGTGCTTCAATTTTGCTTTCTGAAAAATAGATCTCACTTTCTTTACACTTTGTATCTATGTCTGCCTTTCTTCTAATTGAATCTGCATCGGTAAACTGGTTAGGCTAATCTATAAACCATGTTAGCTCTTCATTTTAACTCAGGTAAACCAGTTTGGCATTTGTTAGCAAGCAAAACATAACAACTATTTGAATGAGGAGAAGCCACTGATATTGATTTTAAAAGTTTCTGGACCCATCCATATTTTTTATTAAAGTTTATTGGGGTGACAATTGTTAGTAAAGTTACATAGGTTTCAGGTATACAATTCTGTAATACATTATCTATATATTACATTGTGTGTTCGCCACCCAGAGTTAGTTCTCCTTCCATCACCATATATTTCATCCCTTTTACTTAAAGTTTATTGGGATGATATGGTTAGTAAAGTTCTATGGGTTTCAACTATACAATTCTGTAATACATCATCTATATATCATATAGTGCATTCACCACCCAGAGTCAGTTCTCCTTCCATCACCATATATTTGATCCTGATTATCCTCATCTACCATCGCCTCCCCTCTTAACCTCTCCAACAACTAAACTATTCTTTATGTCTATGAGTGTTTGTTTCCTTATTTGTCTTGTTCTTTGTTGCTTTATGTTTTATATCCCACATATCAGTGAAATCATATGGTTCTTGACTTTTTCTGTCTGATTTATTTTGCTTAGCATAGTAATCTCAAGATCCATCCATATTGTCACAAATGGCACTATTTCATCTTCTCTTATGGCAACATAGTATTCCATAGCGTATATATACCATGACTTCTTTATCCAATCATCTAAGTGCACTTGGTTGTTTCTCTGTCTTAGCCACCATAAATAAAGCTGCAGTGAACATCAGAGCACATATATCTTTAAGGATAAATGTTTTCAGATTTTTTGTGTAGATACCCAGGCGAAGGATTCCTAGGTCATATGGTAATTCTATTCTTTATCTTTTGAAGAACCTCCATGCTGCCTACAATACCGGCTGCACCAATATGCACTCCCACCAACAGTGTATGAAGGTTTGTTTTTCTCCACAGCCTCTCCAACACTTGTTACTATTTGTCTTGTTGATAATAGCCATTCTAACCAGTGTGAGGTGATATTTCATTGTGGTTTTTATTTGCATTTCTCATGATTAGTGATGTTAAGCATCTTTTCATATATCTCTTGGCCATCTGTATGTCCTCTTTGGAGAAATGTTTATTCAGGTTCTCTGCCCATTTTTAAATTGGATCATTTGGGGGTTTTTTGTTGTTGAGTTGTATGAGTTCTTTATATATTTTGAATATTAGCCCCTTATTGGAGGCACTGTTTGCAAAAATCTTCTCCCATTCAGTTGGTTGCCTGTTTATTTTGTTGATGGTTTCTTTTGCTGTGCAGAAGCTTTTTAGTTTGATATAGTCCCATTCATTTAGTTTAGCTTTTACTTCCCTTGCCTTTGAGGTGAAATTCATAAAATCCTCTTTGAACCCATGGTCCATAAGTTTAGTACCTATGTTTTCTTCTATGCAGTTCATTATTTCAGGTCTTATGTTTAGGTTTTTGATCCATTTTGAGTTAATTTTCATACATGGTGACAGAGAGCAGTCTAGTTTCATTCTTTTCCATGTGGCTTTCCAATTCTCCCAGCACCATTAATTGAAGAGGCTGTATTTTATTTATTGTGTATTTTTGTCTCCTTTGTCAAAAATTATCTGTCCATATTTATGGGGGTTTATTTCTGGGTTTTCAATTCTATTCCATTGGTCTGTGTGTCTGTTTTTCTGAGAATACCATACTATTTTGATTATTGTTGCCCTGTAGTACAAGCTGAAGTCAGGGAGTGTGATACTTCCAGTATTGTTCTTTTTTCTTAGGATTGCTTTGGCTATACGGGATCTTTTGTGGTTCCATACAAATTTGATGATTTTTTTTGTTCTATTTTCTTAAAAAATGCCATTGGGGTTTTGATGGGGATTGCATTAAATTTGTATTGGGTTGTCGGAAAAATCATGATGCATTTTTGCGAAGAAAAACATAGAAAAAATACGTCATGTCTTTTCCGATGACCCAATATATTGCTTTGGGTAATACAGCCGTTTTAATTATGTTGATTCTTCCAATCCATGAACAAGTAATGTCTTTCATTTCTTTGTGTCTTCTTCAATTTCTTTTAAAAATGTCTTATAGTTTTCAGTGTATAGGTTTCACAACCTTGGTTGAGTTTATTCCTAGGTATTTTATTCTTTTGGTTGCAATTGAAAAAGGAATTGTTTTTATTTTTTAATTTCTTTTTCTGAGAATTCCTGTTAGTGTAATAAATAGGGATGCAATTGATTTTTGTACATTGATTTTGTAGCCAGCAACTTTACTGTAT